CTTAGTCTGTATTCATTTCAGGCTGCAAAGCAACAAAATGTGATTCTTTTGAAGGTGGCTGATTCTTTTCTATACCCACTGTATATACTGCAGGAATAGTAAGATTGGGATGCTCTTCTGAACACAGTCTTCTTACACTCTCACATATGCCCATGCATTCTCGTTCACACATATACACTTCATTTTTTCTCTTACTTTCTCTCGTACCATCTGTGTCTGACACACACTTACTCCACACACATATTGTGTGCTTTTTTTCTGTCAAAGTCACATGGTTTGTGTTGAGTAAATTGTTAGCAGGTGACACACATGCAAGCCCACACACAGTGTTTGCTGCACTGCTATTCTAGTTCATAACTCATACTAGTCTAGTGCGATGTTTTTTGAAGATTCACTGATTTATATTGTGTTTTTGTGCTGGAAATTGGTATTTGGTGACTAATGCGATCAACTGATAGGGATGTGCATGTGTGAGATTGATGCGAAGGAAAAAGCGCCTCTTTCCTCAGCATCTGCACACTGATATCAGCGTAAAGCTCTTAATGCCTGACCTGAGAGATGTAATTCAGCTTGCGTGCCTCAGTGTCAGAACGTTCCAGCACTGAGCTGATTTCCATGTCTGCGCAGCCTCGCTCTGTCCAGTAATCTGAGACCAGATGCACCAGCCCCGCTTAACTTAGCCCAGGTGTAGCATGTTTTTTTTTTTCATTCTTTTTAGAGCACATTTTAGAATAATTGTCATGAAATAACACGCATGGAATTTTGGAAATAATGTTTGCTGCACTGCTATTCTAGTTCATAACTCATACTAGTCTAGTGCGATGTTTTTTGAAGATTCACTGATTTATATTGTGTTTTTGTGCTGGAAATTGGTATTTGGTGACTAATGCGATCAACTGATAGGGATGTGCATGTGTGAGATTGATGCGAAGGAAAAAGCGCCTCTTTCCTCAGCATCTGCACACTGATATCAGCGTAAAGCTCTTAATGCCTGACCTGAGAGATGTAATTCAGCTTGCGTGCCTCAGTGTCAGAACGTTCCAGCACTGAGCTGATTTCCATGTCTGCGCAGCCTCGCTCTGTCCAGTAATCTGAGACCAGATGCACCAGCCCCGCTTAACTTAGCCCAGGTGTAGCATGTTTTTTTTTTTTTCATTCTTTTTAGAGCACATTTTAGAATAATTGTCATGAAATAACACACATGGAATTTTGGAAATAATGCACACTTGGAACAAATAGAATATTTTTGTTACTTGAAAAAAAATAATTAACTGAAATAAAATATTTAAAAATTTATTTTATTTTATCTAGTTGCCTGGGCAGCATTTCTCATTTTCGTTTAGTTTAATTTGAAGTACTAAAATAACTAAACTAAAACTAATAAGAAATATTAAACTATATAGACATATTTAAAAATTAAGAAAACACAATACAATTACTAGATTTTTACTAAACTTAAAGTTAAAGCAGAAAATAAAAATAAATTAATTAAAAATATTAATAACTATAATAGTATATCAATTTTACTAAAAAACACTGCAGCTAATCTAGTTTATTTTTAATGAGATTTATTAAGATTTATGAAGAAATTCATAGACAATTTATATTTGTCTACAAAATGCACATATATTTTATATTTGAATATAAATATAATTCATGATTTTATATACGTTTATATATTTATGTATTATATATATTTCGTTGGTGCGAGAAATCTCTTCTACTCACCAAGGCTGCATTTATTTGATCAAAAATACAGTAAATACAGTATTGTGAAATATTATTACAGTTGTAAATAACTGTTTTCTATGTGAATATATTTGAAAATGAAATTTATTTCTGTAATGCAAAGCTGTATTTTCAGCATCATTACTCCAGTCTTCAGTGTCACATGATCCTCCAGAAATCATAATAAAATGCTGATTTAATGCTCAAGAAACATTTCTGATTATTATCTGTATTATATGTTGAAAACAGTTGTATTTTTCTGGAAACCGTGGAATATTTTTTATTAATTGAACGTTCATAAGAGCAGCATTTATTTATGCATTTATTTAAGTAAACGACTTTACTGTCACTTTTGATCAATTTATAATGCATCCCTGCATTTAATGCATTTTTAAAATAAAATTCGGCATATTTTAGTCAGGTAGTACATTCATGCTATTTTGCTTCCAGAATCTTTTAAATAAGATTTTGCGAATGGCTGCTGAAACCCTAGGCTGATGAGCAGTGGTAGCGCTGGTATGTGGCTCTGATATTAGGTTTCGGTTGGGGTAAATCTGTTTAAAACCACGCCAGCGTTTTAGTTCTCCCTCTGGAGCAAGCCAAGCACATCGTGAATTTATTTGCATTCAAAAACGGCCCATAAAACACCCGCTGTTAGCTTCAGCATTCGTCCTTCAGTGTTTAGTTATGGACATTGTCATAGCACCAGTGTTAATTTTGACAGCAAATTTTGATTTAGTTTTAGTCATAGTCTTTTGACTAAAATGCCATTTAGTTTTAGTCATATTTTTGTCATCTGAATTGTTTTTAGTTTTAGTCGACTAAATATCATACGATTTTAGTCGACTAAATCTACAGTAAATTTAGTCGGCTAAAATCTAATGGGTTTAGTTACAGTGCAATGCATTTATTTAGCATTTCACTAAAATTTCCAAA